ACATTTATAAATTGATATATTCATGAAACATTATATTTATAGAATTATTTAATTTTATCTAATATTTTAATTAAGTTTCTTTTATAAATCTAGTTAAATTCATCTATTAAATTTATATAATATTCATTCTTCATTAACCTATATATAAGCTTATATTGTATGAAAAAAATATTGTAACTAAAAGGCTAAATGTTAAATTTGATCCCTTAACTTAAAGAAATGCACATTTTTTATCCCTCAATAATTTTTTGCACTTTTTTGATCCCTCAACTCTAACAAATGTATACCGTTAGTCCTTCTATTAATTTCCGCTGTTAACTCTGCATATGTGGCATTTTTTATATTTTTTTGATGATGTGAAGCGTAAAATTAAAAAAAGTAATGACATGGATAAAACGTTTTGCCATGTTCAAACAAAAAACATTTTCTCAGCATCTAAACACCCTTCTAGCCAAACAAATGAAAACCACTAAAAATTGCTTCTTTACCCATTAATCACTGCTTCTGTTCTTTCCATTTTGAACATTGAAATCATTCAAACAATATTTAAGAAATATGAAAAAAAGAATATCAAAAATCCCTCACAACCTGCAATTTATATAAAAATCTCTTCAAACAAACATATAACAAAAAAAAAAAGTGGAGCTGGGTTCGGTGAACCTAGTTGCTGGGTTCCACCGAACCCAGCAGATCTGGGTTCGAGGAACCCACCAACTGGGTTCCATTGAACCCGAGCTAGGTTCGATGGAACCCAGTTGCTGGGTCCCTTGAACCCAGCCATCTGGGTTCAAAGGACCCAGCAACAGAGGAAGAAGAGGAAGAAAGAAGAAAAAAAAAAAAGAAAGGAAGAAGATGAGTCGAGAGGGAGAAGAGGAAGAAAGAAGAGGAAGAAAGTAGAAAAAAAAAAGAAAGGAAGAAGATGAGTCGAGCTTTTTTATTTTTTATTAAAAATATAAATCCTAAACAAATTTAATTTATGAGTTGGCATCGAACACGTTATCAAAAAAAATTCCAAATCAGCACTTTTTAATGTTGTTTTTGCCATGTTATAAAAAAAACATAAAAAATGCCACATGACGGACTTAACGGCCCAAATTGACAAAAAGACTAACATAGTGCATTTCGTATAGTTGAGAGATCAAAAAAATGTAAAAAATTGTTAAGGGACCAAAAATGTGCAACTCACTAAAATTGAGGGAACAAATTTAGCATTTAACCTAACTAAAACTGAAGAGTGAATGAAAAAATAGTGAATGAAAGAATAGAAAGCATATTTTTTTTTTCCTCCTCATCTCATTCTCATACTTTATTATTACACATATTCTTACTTCATCATACTCAAGAATTACTTATTTTATAATAAAAAATTATTTATTTTAAAAATAAACTCTTC